CCCAGCGCTGGGTTATATTTAACCCAGCATTTTTTAGAGTGTATATTCTCTATAATTTATATTAATATACAAATTTATTAAGACATCATTTGGCCCATTTATAAACCTTTTTTTCTCTTGTGAGCACCTCAATCCTCACTGTTTACATCAATCTGGCTCTCAATAGTATGCACAAGCCTCTTACAGCTACTTTGTTTGTCACACTTCTCTGTCACACATACACACTCACACAGATGCACAGACCTCTCCTTCAACACAAAAGACTTGTTAGTAAACCAGCATTGTTGCTTTCACAAGAGTGCTAAACAAAGGTCTGCTTTCTGTTGTGATTTTCTGCATTTCCTTTTTAACCCAGCGCTGGGTTATATTTAACCCAGCATTTTTTAGAGTGTATATTCTCTATAATTTATATTAATATACAAATTTAGTTGTCTGTTGAAGAGAAGCCTTCAGATGGAGAAAGGGAGATAGGACAATGAGTCATAGGGCAGCAGATGAGATGAATCCTGAATTCAATAAAATCACCACATCAAAACCATGTACTCTCCAGTCATGACCGCAGACCGTGATAGGATATTTTTCTGGTTGCTTGGTTTTTATGACTCACACACTGTGCTGGAATAGCCTGCCCACAACTGAATCTCATTGGTTTACAGTCCTGCTTTGGTTCATTTTCAATTAGATGATTTCCAGCAACACAAGCAATAGGTAAAAATATGAGTTTTCATTTACACCTGATACAACTGGACACTGCAATTGAGTACACAACTACTAGTAACTAACAGAAACTTGAGGACTTAAAATCAAAGTTTGCAATGTTGTGATTCAACTCATAGCCCGTTGGTTTGTTTCAAGGCTTATAACACTTTAATGAAGACTTTTGAAAAATCCCTATGGGAAAAATAAATGGGAATAATACTTTCAGAACCAAGGCCGCTGAAAAGGTGAATAGGCACTGTTGCACTCTATTGCTTCTCTTCACTGTAAAAACAATACAGATTTAACTGACTTTTTTCAGACCTGCATTAATATTAAATTAAAGCGACAGTCCAATCAAAATGGCAATGAAAATTCTGGCATCATTTACTCACCCTCATGTCATTCCAGACCTCTATGTCTTTCTTTGGTGGAAGACAAAAGAAGATATTTTGAAGAATTTTGGTAACCAAAAAGTTTCGGTTCCTATTGAGTTCCATTTTATGGACAAGAAAGATATTCATACAGGTTTGGAACGACATGAGGTGGACTATCCCTAAAACAAACAACTGAAAAACAAAGCAAATCCTATAAACTATACAAACAATAAATCATAGTAAATAAGGACAACTAAACAACAAGAGAGGTTGTGCGGGTCAGGATGGAAAGGGAAAATGATAACAATAGACTGATAAAGAAAAA